GAATTCGAAATTTGGGACTCTCTCAATGCATAATGGGACTCATACTTTTCTGATCAGTGAGTCCCTGGGACTCGCTGCAGGTAAACTGTAAAATGATCACTGAGAGATTACCGCTTTTTCTGCAGTCAGGGATTGACTTCTATGCACAGTCATTTCTCAACTTGTGTTCCGTGCCATGTCATGCCTGTTGAGTGTTAATTTACTTCATGTTAAGAAACTACTGCACTGAAACCTTAATTCATAAATGTATATCATATGATTTTATTTCTTTTTCTCAGTATAAATAACACGTACCCTGACTGTTCTACTCTTTGAATAAAAACACTTCATTCAAGCGTTAGGGAGTGCAAAGGGTTATGATGGAGGGGTGTTGCAAATCATGAGGACCTGCCAAGTGGTATGATAGCATTGTTTTATACATGTCCTCGGCTAGGCCTCAATTTCAAAATCAGTCCTTGGTCCTTGGCCTTGGCCTCGGAAAATCTCTCAAGTCCTTGGCCTTGGCCTTGCCTCGGAAAATTTTCCAAGTCCTTGGCCTTGACCTTGGCCTCGGAGGCAAGTCCTTGGCCTTGGCCTTGGCCTCGGGTTGCCGGTCCTTGGACACAACACTGCTGGACACCCTGCAGAGATAACTCATTTCGGCCGCTTTTATCCAGGACCTCGTTCTTTCGGTCACGACCCATAGCTCGTAACCATAGATGAGGGTTGGAACGTAGATCAACCGGTAAAGTGAGAGCTTTGCCCTTTGGCTCAGCTCCCTTCTTTACCACGACAGACCGATACAAAGTCCGCATCACAGCAGATGCTGCACCGATCCACCTCTCGATCTCTCGCTCCCTCCTGCCCTCACTTGTGAACAAGACCCCAAGATACTTAAACTCCTCCACTTGGGGCAAGATCTCCTCCCCAACCCGGAGAGGGCACTCCACCCTTTTCCGAATGAGGACCATTGTTTCAGATTTGGAGGTGCTGATTTTCATCCCAACCGCTTCACACTCGGTTGCGAAACGCCCCAGTGAGAGTTGGAGAGCCCTGCTTGATTGAAGGAGCCAACAGTACCACATCATCTGCAAAAAGCAGAGATGCAATACTGAGGCCACCAAAACGAACCCCCTCAAAACTTCGGCTGCGCCTAGAAATTCTGTCCATAAAGGTTAAGAACAGAATCAGCGACAAAGGACAGCCTTGGCGGAGTCCAACCCTCACTGGAAACGATTCCGACTTACTGCCAGCAATGCGAACCAAACTCTGACAACGGTGGTATAGGGACCAAACAGCCCCTATCAGGGGGTTCGGTACCCCGTACTCCCGAAGCACACCCCACAGAACTCCCAGAGGGACACGGTTGAACGCCTTCTCCAAGTCCACAAAGCACATGTAGACTGGTCGGGCGAGTTCCCATGTAGGGTTCAACCGAGGACCCTGCAAAGAGTGTAGAGTTGGTCCACTGTTCCACAGCCGGGATGAAAACCACACTGCTCCTCCTCAATCTGAGGCTCGACTTCCCAACGGACCCTCACACAATGCGAGTTACGAAAACGAGGCAGCGTGCTTTTGATCTAACAACTTCATGCAAAACGTTTACAGTCTTTTTAAAATGACAGCTGATAATATGTCTGCGGGTTTGGATAGTATTGATGGCAAGCTTCTGAAATGTGCTCTTAAATTTGTGTCATATTCTTTGTGTCAAATATTCAACAGATGTTTGGTGTGTGGTGTCTTTCCCCATTTGGTGGAAGGAATCAAAAAAGATTCCTATTCCGAAAAACAACAATGGTTCATTTAATAGTGCTAATAGTAGGCCCATAAGTATTTTACCTGTTCTTGGAAAAATGATGGAGACGATATGTGAATAAATCCAAAAATATAGTTTATTTATATGTTTTTTTTAGAAATAAATGGTGTCTAAAAAAATAAGTGTCAATTATTAATAAGAATGGAACACTCCAACTGAGTGCAGGTTCCACAAATGAGACTGTTAGGTTTCACAATAGATAATCTCACATGGTCACGGCATGTAGACCATGTGATTCACAATAGATAATCTCACATGGTCACGGCATGTAGACCATGTGATTCGTAAAATGGATAAGGCTATTGCTGTGGCTCGACGGTGTTCTTACTTTACTACTTCCAGCAATTTTAAAAATTGCTAGTTCTGCCTCTTGCATTGTCATATCCTAAATATTGTTCAATGTGTGTGTATATGGTCTGCTGAAAATAAAATTGATATAGCGAGGCTTCACATCATTCAAAACAAGGATGCCCGCCTCGCGTTTGGCATTTGACTCAGCATGACTTAGATTTGTTCTTGGTTTTGCTGTTCGGCGCTTTCTACCATCTTTATTACCGATTTGCTTGACTGTTTGTTGTATATGTTGAATTGCTCCATGTACAGCACTTTGTATGCAGCGATGGCTGTTTGAAAGTGCTCTATTAATACAGTTCAGTTGAGTTTTTAATGTAACAGTGCTGCTTTGATTTTTAAAGTTTGCCTTTATTTGTGATTTGTGGTGAATGCTTTAATGTAACATTGTTTGTATTGTGATGTATGCACTAATTGTGTTTGTTTTTTTTGTTTTTTTTAACAGGAAGATTTACAACCACTGCAGTGGAAGCTTATGAGGAGACAACAATGAATTAATTTCTGACTTCTTTTTTGAGTACCTTTTTGTCAATGCGATTTTTGAACACTTCACAATGTTTACTTCATGAAAATGAAACTCTTAATTGATGAAACAGGCAGAGGTTTCACCTACTAAATCATTCCTGCTTCAAACTTCAGAACCTACTGATACGAATTCTGATGATCACCTGTGTGAAGGGTGTATTCACTTTTGTCCAGTACTGTACATATAGACTTGTATAAATAAAAAGTTTGCCTTTAACTGAATGTACACGCGAGAAGAAAATATTAATTCGTACTCACAGCATATGGTAGTCCCCGATACCCATGACTTTGTGCACTTCCACAACTGTGGTTGTTAAAGTTTTTCTCATTTACGGCAGGGCTTGCTTCAACAGATTCAGGGCTGAAATTTTAAAAATAAATGTCAGATAAAACCTCGATTAGTATAGCATCTTTTAAAAAGTTCTATATACAGTATTTTACATCATGCCTCGCGTTACACATGATTAGCCACTAGATGGAACCAAAACTCAGAAACTGCTGTCCTCCTGAGCTGAACAACAATTTAGGACATGGAATGTGGGTGTCATTTTGTTATGCAACTCCATCGCCTTTCCATAGAACTGACCTAACAGTAAATAACCTTGCCATTTCTCTCTGGGGTTTCCATTGGAGAATATCTTCAAAAGAAGAAAAATATGCACTTAAGTGTTCAGTTACAAACTCAACAGTTTTTATTCCTTGAATAATGTAGTAAACTTTATTAACATTAAGAATAAATGACATTGGAAATGGTACTGGAAAATAGATATTCCAGAAACTACTTGATACAGTTAAAAAAAAAGAAAAAAAAAACAATAGAAGAATTTTGAAATTCTTGGGATCCCTTGGAATGCCCACATTACTCACACCAAACCTGACACAGAAAGGAATAGAAACCCCTGTAACTTAAATGGACTGAGTGAAATCCTATCCTATGTATTTTTTTAACTATACTTAAAAGGTGCAGAGCAATGTGTGAAGTTTGTGGAGTTACTGCGGGAAAAAATAGACACATCTACATGTGTCATAACTCATTAGCCATTGATAACTTACTCTGATCCAGCAGCCATTTCTGTGTAAGACGTTTCAGGTGTGGTGACTCCTAGAGCGATTACTATGCTCATGACGTCCAGCACAGTGACGCTTGGGAGGGAGGGGAAGAGGGGGGAAGGGGGAGGG